CCTAATGTAGTGTGTAGTAAATTTATTATTAACATTCGATGATTCTGTTATAGTAATTAGTAATGGGGAATTATTTGTGATGACATACAATGATCTGACTCATTATCTAATTTTAGTAGCATTTATATGTCTAACCCATATACTTGACATAACTTATGAGCCATTACTTAGTGATACATAAACACTTACATCAACAACACTAGTACATACTGATCATTATACTTACATTAGAATCACTAATACCATACACATACTCTGAACCTTGAGACCAGGATAATGATGCAACTGAAGAGGTTGATGTAACTTCAGATATAAATGTAAGGGTTGTACTATTGACCAAGCGATACTGTAGGATTATATTAAACTGTATAAAGACTACACACAACTACTAACCTTATTGATGTAATAAGTATTACTATTTATTGTAAATGTAAAGTAGATGAAATCAATGTCATCAATGGACACTCCAACAATAGCAGTTAATCCAGTCAGTATAGTACTGTTAGTAACTAGACCAGTAGCAGTGAGAGGGTTCGATACACCAACTGCTGGAGCTGGACTACTACTTCTTGAATCAGATATGCTACACTGATAGGAGATATAATTATATGAAGTACTGTATTAAAACTCACAATACTTCCATCTAATCCAGGTGATCCTCCTGCACATGATATAGAATTTTGCCAAAAGATATTCTTATTACCATTACCATCAACAACACATGATTGATAAGCAGCATCCATTAAAGAGTTGATATCAGACAGACTGTATGAACATACATCATCCACTGAATCAGCACGTATTGCAATGAACAATGTCTCTTCATTAATAACTGATATGTCAATCAGAGTAGGAATAAAGAAACCATTATTACCATCGCAACCTAAAGTCAGTTCATATTGATTGTTGAAACCATCAGCTGCACTGTCATTACATACTCTTATTATATGAAGCCTTCTGCTGACACCACTTGTTGGAGGATCATTCACAACATAATAAGCATATCCTGAGGCAAAGAAACCACTCACAAATACACGATTAAAACTACCAAAAGCTTGTTGATTTACAGGATTAGTAGCTCTTTCCACTATGCTACCACCAAACCCATACTGATGATATAAAATATCATTGTCAACATAGCTCCCAGTGTAAAAGCTGTTACCATTTCCTCCAGTAAACACTACTAGACTAGTAGCAGTCCCACTGTTAGTCTCTGTTCTATTAGCAGGAGCTTCAAGATTAGATCCATTAAGAACAGAACATGTTACACCACTAGCATCAGTACACACTATACACCATTCACCATCAGGTGTACTAGCTATTCCAGTAACAGTACCACCAGGAGTGTCAGGAGAGCCCTCTGATTGTTGTAGAGTAGAAGAGAACCGGTGTACTTGAGAAGCAGTGCTCACAAAGACTCCATTAGTACTAACAGCAATATGAGTCACTGTACTGGATAGAGATGAAGAGATGAGTGGCTGAGAATTAACCAAAGAAGGAGGAACAGCTAGTGTGAGAAAGAGAAGAAGAGTTGCTGCTGCTTTCATGATTATGAAGAATAGGGAATAACATACCGGTGCATTGCATTTATAGCACAGGCAATGAATATCATTAGCATACCTCACAATAATGTACAATCCAACCGGGCTGAAATTTCTCTCAAAAAGTGACCAAGTTGTGCTGATAACATGCACAACATAAGTTGTTACGCATGTAGTTTCATTCCCAGCTTGTGTCCCAATACAGATTAATTATCAATTTTTATTATCAAAGTCAAGATTTTAATTCATTATAAAAAGGTGGAGTGCAAGTGGAAAAGGTTAGAGATTTGTGTAGTAAAGCTCTTATACGTGATCACTAAAAAGTAAGCATCATTGGTATGTACACATACACTACTTATTGTTTGTTCACTGTAGGAATTTGAATGTACCCAATCTGTTCTTACTACTCTCTCCACTCGATTTCCAGTATGGCTATCTTATTGCTTTTTTAAATTAATTCTTGACAGGATATTAGTCTAATGCTTTTACCTAGTCTTGTTAATAATATACAAACTCCAGGGAATCATTTCAGATTGGTAAGAGTACCAAATTCCCTAGTTCTTACATACCTTTATCTCTTCATTCAGATGTTAGGTTATGGTTTAATAAGTAGTATATTGGGTCGCTCCAAAGAACAGGTGGTTTTTTAAACATGAATTACCATTACACTTGTCTTAGGTTTTAAGTGACACAGAAATCATTGATCCGTTGATATTGCATTGTATCACTGATCTCAAATCAAGTAAAGTTGCTAATTATCATCCAATATTGGAGTCCATCCAGTCTTTAGTTATGAATCTCAAGTCACATGACATGGTGGGTCACATCATGTGATTTAATTTAATTTAATTTAATTTAATTTAATTTTTTAATTTAATAAAGTTTTACAGGACAAACACAAAAATTAAGGGACGAAAAATAACAATTAAGGCACAAAAAAGAGAGTTGTCCTGAAGGAAGGCCAAGAACTGGTCTGGCCCCCAGCAAACAAACAAAGACACACACAAAAATAAAATAAAATAATAATAAACATAAAGCAGAAATGAGAAGAGAAATAAGACAGGATAAAAGATATAAAATAAATAGAAAAGAAATTAATGATTATTGATTGAAGAGGGGAGTTTGGAACAGGTACTACATGGACAGAGAAAGTGAAACGAATGATGATTGGTGGAATCGAAATTTGCTTGAAAATGAGTAATAAAAAAGTTTATTAGGTCTGATTTAATAAGGCTAAGGGATTTGTTTAAATCAATGGATGGAAGACAGTTCCATAATCTAGGAAATCTGGTAAAGAAGGAGTGATGAGAGGAGGATGAGGAAGAGAATTTATGGGAAAGTTTACCACGAGAGGAGAATCTTGTGTTGGATTGTCACTTGACTGTCTCTTTTCTCTCCAGTGCAAAGGTGATGGTGTTATGAAGTTGCATAAAGCATTGGTTGAGCATGAGGAAAGCAATCCTAAAAAGACTGGACAGTTGACTGTAAATATACTTCAATTATTAGCTGAGGATGAAGAGGAAAATGACTAATTTAACTTTTAAGGTACATGTCATGTGTAATATATAGCTACTCAACAAAATAA